TTTTTTTTTACCTACGCTATATGTGTTATGTTAAGCTTTAAGCACAAAATAACAATTTCATGTCAGTAATTCAGGCAGGCTTTTTGTAATACATTTAAATATGTATATATATTTCTGATTTCAAGTCATAGCATCCTTCAAGTTCTTCTTAATTCTAAGCAGATCCACTGGATTACACCAAATTGTCTGGTGCTCTGGATTAAGTTATCACTGTATTGAATCCTTGTCTCCCGCTGCTCTTCATACAGTAGCAGTGGCTGCAAATCAAAAAGCCACACAAAATGTAAACAAACCAAGCAACCCAACTGTAGGACCAGTGCGGCCACTGCCTTGCGAAAGCTTCTAATCTTTGTTGCATTGCTTCTCGGTATGTCTGTCGTCATGTGACACGCAGGCAGGGAGGAGGTGACCTATATTCTCCACCAAACAAAAACTCTTACTCCTCTCCCTGAGTGTGTTGCCATAATACGAAAACCATGAGAAATAAATTGCATGTCAACCGCCAGTGTTATTCATTGGATATTAAAGCGGAGATTATTGTTTATTGCAGCTCTATCTGATAATCTGTGCAGGCATGGTTGTGATTTTATTATCGTGGCTTTGATTTGTATCTGATGGGAAGCAGGTGCTGGTTGTTGTCTCTTGGATTATTAACTTCTAGAGCAGACAGCGCCAACTCTGCCAAGCAAAGAGCTTGCTGATCTTGCATATTCCTTTTTGCCCGCATAATCCTCTGAAGTCAGCAAGTGGGCAACTGCCAACAGATTTCTTATGTGGCCTGTCAAGCCCCAATAAATAGGCCTTTATTTGACCTGGACTCAGGTGTCCTCTTATCTTAATGTATTCAGGCTTTACAATAATCAAATGATCGCAGAGAAGAAGAGAAGCATTTACTTTGGTGGCTCCTTTGAGGTGGTGACTTGTTGTAGACTGAGACAGATCAACACGACACAGTTGCATCTCTCTGAAGCACAAAAGCCTCACTGCACCAAAGCTGACAGCTGGTTGGCATGGTGATGACAGCATAAGTGGGATCCATTAGATTGAGATGAGGAGCTGCCCCAGTAGTTAATAAGTGGACTCACAGAAAGCTGCCCTTTGAGCAGGCCTCTGTGCTTTTCTGCCATGTGGAGAGTCTGCTTTCAACACAATATTTCTAACTGAACAGGATAGCCACACTGGGGGGTCGCTGGGGGGAGGAAGATACAATCTACTAAGTCTACAATCTCACAAAACATTACACCCCTTCAGGGAGGCCCCGTGAATGCCGGGGTAATGCCTTCACTAACTCTGCTCCTCAATCCACACTCTAGTTCTCACCAAAGTGAGTCATGGTATGAGCAAGTGACAAGATGTGCTACAGAGCCAGAAATCTGATCGCATTACTAAAGAGGAGACAGAATTGTCACCTCTTAGGCATGTAGAGCCGGAGACTTTGTAGAAGAAGGACTTTGATACAACCCACTGAAATGTTCTCTGGTGACTTGCCTTATTTTGTGGTATTTGGATCAGCTGTAGGTAAAGTTAGCGTTTCACTTCGAATGACAGTGTAGTGCTGAATGTTAGAATTTTTGTAGGCATTTGGAAGTATTTAAATTCTAACATGCCTTCTAGAAAGCTTCTCTTCTTTCTTCTGTGTTCGGCAACACCGTCCTGTAATGGTAGCTTCATGCTTACTGAAAGACAAGCAGTGAAGCATAAATAAACAAGTGTAATGTAAACATGCTTCAGATTCTTAGACAATTATAAAAATAAAAAAAACCCACACACTCATTAGTGTGGTAGGAATTTAAATGTTTAAAAAAAATAGCTGGTGGGAAATTTTGGAACTAATTAGGTTAATTGGCAACACATCAGTGTTGGTTTTGGGTATCTTAGAGAGCCATCGTTTTTCAAAAGTGGGCAGAGGTTCACCAGTCTACAAAAAACTACATCTAACATAACAGTTATCGTCTAGACTGCATAATATCATCAAAATATTCTGGGAGAATCTTATGGAGAAATTCTCAGATTAAACATTTTCAGTTTTCTGTGTTTTATACAGTGAAAAATGTGGATTTGTGAGATTTCCTAATCACTATATTCTATTTTTATTTACAGTTTAGGCAGCTTCCTTTTTTGGAAATGGGGTTGTTAAAAAAAAAAAAACTAGGATAGAGGCTAGAAGGAAGATGAAAGGAAATGCAAAGTGCAAAGTGAGTGATAATTACCTCCAGGTTCATCGGTACAAGTCATCTCTGATATGACCATTGTGAAATGTTCTGTATTGTGTGCAACAGAGCAAATGTGAAATCTACAGTTAGGGACAGTGACCCTTGTCTGTGGCACGGACAATCTCCCCACCACCGTCTGAACTTTCACATTAATCCCCAATTGACATGGATGGATTATTTCTGCCACTGATCTCAGCAACACCCATGTTGACCTGTGGCATTGAGTGGAGGTACTTGACAAAACTGTGTCATCTCTGCGTGGTGTATTGGATGACTGGAAATACCAAAGTACCAGTGAGGATATGGGGTAACTAACAACAGCCGGAAGATTGATTTGTAACCACCACAACACTCTCTCGTCCATCTCATCAATCAGTTATCAAGGCTTTTGGATGGCTATTTATACCGCCGCCTGCATTACATGGCAATGTAGAACAGTGTGGGCATTGAGTGTGGAAATGACATTTGATATAGATGCAAGAATGCACATTAGGCAGCATCCTGCAAAATATTTCAAGCCAATTCTCATTTTTAACTTGAAAAATGAGAATGTTGACATAATATTTATAAGACAAATTTAAAGGAATAGTTAGGAAATAAGCTTATTTGCTTTCCTGCCAAGATGCAACTGATACAAATGTCATGTCTGTGTAAACGCTATGACACTACGGCAGCAGCTGTTTAGCCTAGCTTAGCTTAGCTTAGCATAGTTACAGGGGAAACAGCTGTATGGGGATTAAACAGGTATTTGTTTAACCCCATTTAAAATGGTTGTGCTGCTTTTATAGAGCTCAGCTTCACTACAAGAGTTTGTTTGTTTTCAATTTTTATGCTAAGTTATGCTGGCTAGCTGGGTTTATAACAATAATAATAATAATAATAATAATAATAATCTATACTTTATTAATCCCCTAGGGAAATTATTCCTCTGCATTTAACCCATTCACTCAGTGAAGCAGTGGGCAGCCACCAATCCAGCGCCCAGGGAGCAGTGTGTAGGTACCTTGCTCATATAGAAGTGGATTTCCAAATGTGTAAAAGCAAGCATTATGTTTTTTTCCAGATAGTTTTAGCATAATCCAGCCATCCTTTGTCATGTAATATATTATGAACGAGCATCATTGGAAAAAAGAAGAAAAAATCATTAGTTTGTCCAAATCTTTATTTTCTTTTTGACACTATCAGACATATACAGTAAAACACAGCAGCTGGCAAGATAAAAACGATGGCGAAAAAAAATTAACTGACTTCTAATGGATTATTTCAGTGAACTGGCCTCAAATGGTACCTTCTGGAGAAACAACATCCCACCTAACCCCTAAAACTACAGCGGTTTTTTTTAGGGAAACCAGGTCATATATCATCTAGAGAATTACTCTCCGGTGCAGCAGCGATCCACGAACAAATTTAAACAGGAGGATAGACAAGCTTAAGCTCCTTTTCTTTGTTTTTGTGCAAAAAAAAAAAAAAAAAAAAAAAAAAAAAGCAAAGAGAGAGAACATGAAGGAGACAGAAGACACCCAAAAAACAGATAAAAAACCAATTCCTGTTTCAGTTCACTACATTGTTTGAATGCAGGGTCCACTATGACATTTGGAACCATACTCCATAAGAAAACAACTGTTTTTATTCTATTTTGCATCAGTGGACACATCAAGGATGAGGTGTAACGCTATATTTTAAATAAATAAATAAATAAAATAATCGAGAATCACATTTTCCATATGCAGACACTTACTCCCAAACAACACTGTGGTATGATGATTATACAACAACATAGACAACCTTGCAGCAAGCATGAAAACAGATCACATCTTTCACTGTTTTCTTCACATGGGAGCCAATTTCATTAGATCTTAGTTAATACTTACTTTACCCATATGTCAAAGTCTGCCCGAAACCATGAAACAATATCAGTCTATATATCTGAAGTCATAAAGTGGGATGAGAGTGCATCACTCAAATAAATAGCCTAATCAAGTCGATATACTATGTGCTCATTAAATGCTCTTTCTGCTTAATGCAGTCAGTCAGAAATGACAAATTTGTGTGGGAGTTTCATATTGCAGTACAATGGCTCTGTGCTGTGCTATCATCATCATCCACATGGTATCCAAAACACTGTGACAAAAATACAAGAGACAATAAACAATTCACAGCAATATTAATTAGCAACCTCCCTCTCACATAACAGTGACACCTTCTGTCAGATACCACCAGGGTAAAGATCTCCAATTCAAATCTACAAATGCATAATGACCATCTGTCTGATGGTGCGTGCCTGGAGAGGTTGGAAATCCGAATTTTAGAGTTCCCAGTCGGAATTTGAATCTGGAACACCTCCTCAAGTGGAATTTCCCTCTCAGATAGTTGGAACAGCCCGTGTAGATCGAAACTAAGGGTCCATGATGGCTGCATTAAATGTACACAGTAGTAAAATTTTAAACTTTTAATCTGTACTGCCACTATTGTATATTTGCGACTTACTAAATAAGCCATGAATGTCTTTTTTAAGCACAAAAAGCAATTATTATGTTATATTGCCTGTGATACCTGAATGACTCTACCTTGCTATGGACAAAAACAAATGCTGTTTTTCGTACACACTAACTTGGGAGTGAAGTCACTCCTGATTTCGCGTTAGTGTAAGTATGTAAAGATAAATAACAGTTTGATTAGCATTGCAAATGAAAACTACATATTTTCAAAAAGACTCAATAAGTACATGACCCTGTTAAACCCCTTTCAGATTGGACTTTTGTAAACAATGCATAGGTGAATTCATCATTAGTACACACTAGCTCTGCCTTCAACAATATAACAAGGTCCACGTAGACCTTCAAATCTCTGGTTATCCCAGTACCACTTATCAAGGCTATTGAATGCCTTGTATTCCTTGTGCCTTCGCAAGTAATCACAAGCCAGGCATGTGTGCTCTGCCCAAAAATAAGCCTTCTTTACTTTAAAGTGTCGCCGCCACTCAAAGTACCTGAGGTACATTTCCTCATTTTTGTCCAGGAGCAGCAGGTAATCAGCCAATTCCTTGGGCGAGCTGAAGTTGTCAACATGAATGAAGGAGTCTCGTGGTTCTCATAGTTCTCATAGTTCTTCCTGGGTGAGCCAAACACCACTGGCACTGTCCCCACATTGAGTGGGTTGTAAAGTTTCTCTGTAATATAATCTTTGTGGATGGAGTTCTCAAACACCAGATAGAATTTGCAACTGGTGATGGTGGGGAAGTAGTCTTGGTCAGAGATGTATTTCCCGAAGACCTGTCCATATGCATGAACCTCAATGTGTTTGTGCAGTTCATTATAATATTTCACCCGTATGTGTTGCTGGTTCCAGTTGCTTACAATCCAGCAAATCAGCTTGTTTTTGCTGGGTGGTACAAAATCCTCTTCCCCTTCTGCTGCTACGATGGACCCATAAGGCACTTCAATGTCAGCATCCTGACGGTAATTGAGAGTCAGATTAAACAGGTTCTCTATCCCAGGCAGCTGGGACGAATGTGTCGGTGACTCAAAGTTCATCCATCATCAGGATTCTGTAAAAAGTTGTAGATGCCATATTATGTCCTAAAAAGAGAAAACCAAAGAGAAAGAACATGATCTCATGGACAGCAGGACACATCAAGATTAACCATCATATCATATTAAGGTTTTACATATTACCTTACTTAGACTTAGACTTAGATCCTCCCATCGGGCAACAAGAGAACGCCATTGAACTCGGTCTATCGCGGCAGTTGTTGCTTCATCCCATGACAGTTCAACTGAATGTAAATCTTCAAGGAAAATCCTCCTCCGTGTTATTTTAGGTCTTCCTCGCCGTCTCTTTCCATTCTTCGGGTTCCACAGAACTGCAACACGGGCAGGTCTCGGGTCCGGTAGCCGAAGGATGTGACCAGCAAATCTGAACCGACGCTTGGTGACTTGGACATGGAGCGGCTCTACTCCCGCACGGCAATATACTTCTTCATTGGTAACGCGATCCCGATATGTGATCTTGAGACATTATTACATATTACCAACATGTAATAATGTCTGCTGGACCTCTGACTCTGAACAGAATCGATGGCTTTAAACACTTAGTGGTATGAATATTATAAATAAAAATGTGAAGCCTTTTACGCACTATCACAATACAAACCTGGTGGACACAAAGCACTTTGATGACTCTTCCCACACTGCGTAATCTCACCTTATTTGGCTACAGGTATGCTATCAACCCTGTTTGACAGATACGCTATCGAACTGGTTTCCCAGTTTCTTGGATTCCTCCTTTTTTTCTCTTGGGATGTATCTACTTTCCACAATAAACACGCCCGTTTCACTTAGTTGTAGAGTGCCTCTAAGTGAGCGCACTTTCTTCACACAAGGTTTGATTTCTCTAGCTTCCAAAAGTTTTGATAGCATTTTATGGTGAAATATTGTCAATAGTAGAAATATAATTGACCTGACTTATGACTTATGTAGTGACCTTCCACCCTGTTTTCACTGCAAATCCAAAACTAGCCCATTCTTTTCATTAGTGATGTGTGGATCGATCCTGAAATATCGATTCCTCCAATACCAGTCATTTATGTTCTAGAATCGATTCTCACATTAAAATATCGATATTTTAGTAATTTAGGGTAAATCTGTAGTTTATCATTAACAGGAACACAGTGGAAAGGAACTATAACATTCGGATTGTCTACATTCGAAGGAACTACTTCCTCTTCCGCCTTTCATAGTCATGTGCGAAATACGGCTGTATAAATGTGTGGCAGCCCTTGGCGTGCGCACTCATAACAATGGCTGAGCATAATTGGAGTCATGTGCAGACGTATTTTACCTCCACAAACAGCTGAGACGTGGTTTGCGATACATGTGGCAAAAAAGTGAGGTGTTGCCGCAACACCACTGACCTTGTCAAACACCTCAGAGTAAATCATATCACAGAATATGACGAGCGTATGTTGAGGCGAACTGAAGAGGAGGAGAGGGACAGGTGCTGCTAGGGCGAGACAGACGTCTCTCACGGAGTCCTTTAGTGCTGCAAGCAGGCAACGTGTTCAAATAGCGCAACTTCAGATTTTTTATTTCTGTATGATGAACTCTGCATTATTAAGTGATAAGAACAAGTAATCTGATGTCCTGTAATCATTATGATGCTATAATTTGAGATACCATAAATAAAAGTTTTTGTACAGAGTATCGGTATCGGATCAGTATCGTCGATACCACCCTGAATTTTATTTGGTATCGAATCGGAAAGGAAATCAGTGGTATCGCACATCACTACTTTTCATTCATTCATTTCATGTGTTAATGCTAAACAAGACTTTGTTCATGAAATAAGAGAAATGTGGAAACAATGTGCTTTAGTGCATAGTGTCTGCAGATAATTCCTCAATAATATAGCTGATGGTTGATTCAAACTCAAAATAATTGCAATCACACTTTAACTTTTCCCCACTGGATTAATTATACATGATTTTTCTGATCTTTTTATGATTTCTGAACTGTCAGAATTAGTGTCAAGACAACTACTGTTTGTGATACTTTTTATGAATTGTATGAGTAATGTGTTTATTTATTAATTTATTTATCGTCAATCTTAGGAAAGCAGGGAAGGGCCTCAGCCAGTTGTTGCTTTTTAAAATGCAATGTGTTAACTGTCTAAACTGTCAGAATGTGCTGTTTTTGCACTTATAAAGATATTTATATAATACATACAGTACATACATATATAGACACATTTATATATCCATAACTACTGCGGTATTAATTTAGTGACTGAAAGATTGGGCACTTTTTGTGCAGCAAATATATGTTGTTGTGTTTGGAGTATACCTTTTAAAGCATATAAGTATTAAAATGTATCACACTGAGGTGATACACTAATATTAGTGGCAGACAACTGCATCGAATCTCTAAAGCAAGCATGTTGACTGTGACTGATGGGACTTTTAATCGTTCTGATTCCATACATGAGAGGATTGCCTTTAGTTGCAAGTGCAAAGCTCTGGTTCTCTCTACTATAATGCCTCACCTCACCCCAGATTTATTTTTAGACTTTAGAGGTTTTATTTGATTTAGTGCTTAGTTCTGATAAAATAATTATAGTGTGTGATTTTAATATCCATTTAGATGCTGAAAATGACAGCCTCAACTCTGCATTTAATCTGTTATTAGATGAATTGGCTTCTCTTTATCTGATCATTTTTATTAACATCTAAATTTTACAATAATAGATTTCACTAAGGTGAGAAATAAATTTCATTAGTAGATGTCGTTCTGAAAGTGCTGTGACTAAGTTGAAGGATATAATTCCTCCACTTTTATCTTCTTCAATGCCATGTGCCAACACAATGCAGAGCAGCTACCTAAACTCTTGAAAGTCACTGTACTCCCTGGTTTAACTCTCAAAGTGTCATGGTGCGTTGTGCGGCAGGCGGGAGAAGGACCCAAGATGCAACTCACAGACACGGGGATAACTGAAAACACAGCTTTAATGCTGGCAGGACGGAATACAGGATATGCAAAACTTAAACTGGAAAAACGTAAACTACCACTTGAAGGCAGACACGGGGAGATCCACACAACATGAGGGAGAACGCGAC